CTTTGAACACGAATTACAGCCAAATGGGTAAAATCACAATAATATATCGATACTTGCTAGATTCCCCAATCATTCAGCTTTCATATGCATCTTTTGGATTCATTCTATATATTATAGTTTTCGAGAAAATCAATGAAATGTAAAAACACTGCTTTTTCGAACGTTCTAATTTCAATTGTTCAACTTTGAGCGCGTATTACAGCAATATGGATAAGAGCACAGGAATGTATCTATACTTTAGCAGATATTTGGAAAGTGCTACTAATATTCGCGCCTCCCCTGAATAAATCAACAAGGAGAAAGAAAATTTATCAAAATTTTTCTAATTTTCTTATACTTTTATTTAATAAATTTTACATAGTTTCATAAATAAATAATTTAATAAATATGGTTGAGTTTAAATGAAATCTCTTATTCATCTTTACGATACATTTGGAATAATCATTCGAATTCTATTTTTTCAGTTTATGCAACTAAATTGCAATGGTGGATTCCTACATTACCTACCATCAGTTGAAAGCAACTGACGCCATCTGGATTTAACTTTCAAATGATTGATTGCCTTAATATTTATTATCTTAACTGCAGTATTATGATATAATATTTGAAAGTTTTCAAGAGTTCAATTGAAATTAAATTTTAATAAAATTCTAAGAATGAATCAAAATTAGTAATCTAGTTTTTGTTCAACAATGCATGAAATTAGTTTGGGACAGAAAACTTATTTTTTTTTTTTTGGGAATAAACAAAATTAGGCTTTGTTCAACATTGTATGAAATTAGTTTGAAACAAAAATCAGTTTAATGTGCATATAATTTCGAAGATTTGTTTGGAACAAAATCTACAATTTATTCTATACAAAAAAAAATATTGTTTTCTAATCAATTTAAATACTTAATTTTTATTATATTTCATTAATTAAAGTTATCAGCAAGAAGCAAAAAAACTTAACAAAATATTTATAATTTTCTTATAATTTTATTTAATAAATTTTACATAGTTTCATAAATAAATAATTTAATAAATATCGGCGAGTTTAAATGAAATCTCTTATTCATCTTTACGATACATTTGGAATAATCTGTAAAAAAGATTATAAATTTGATTGATTAATTAAATTAATTACAATTTGCTTACTTTTTGTAGGTGATTTTCCTGTCCAAATACTTGTTCATCTCCTTCGATTTACAGTAAACCGTGTTGCAGTCCTCTTTATCGTATTTCCCATTGAACGAGTTTATGGCTTCCAGGACGAAGGACGAAACGTTATCGATCCTCTCGTCAACTGAAGAGAAAAAATGTTATTACGTTAAGAAATTAAGTAAAGTAAGAAATAACGAACTTGTGTTTTCCCTGAAGTTCCTCATCTCATCATCTGCGTCTCCGTCGTCTTGGTGTTTCTCTTTCAAGGATGGAATGAAGAGCAGCAAGCAGAGGATCGCGATCAGACTGACGATCTTCTTGAAGATCACCAACTTCAAGATGATTTTGCCGATGGTGAAGAGGTCTAATTTCACTTTGATTTTATCGAGAATTCCGAGCATACCGTGAGGGATTCCGTAGCTGTGATCCATCGGTGGACCGTAAACTGGGGCTGGTTGATAACTGAAGATTCGTGTGTGTGTTAAGTTGATTTTTGTTGGGATTTTGGTTGTGTTTACCTGTAACTTGGTGGACCGTAGACGGGTGTCACTTTCGGAGGTCCGTAGACGTCCGGTGTAGGTTCAAAGCCTTGCGGAGGGCCGTACGTATCTTTGGGAGGTCCGTAGATGTCTTTCGGTGGTCCGTACACGTCTTTCGGAGGTCCGTACAGATCTTTGGGTGGTCCATAATTATCCTTTGGCGGTCCGTAGACGTCCTTCGGAGGTCCGTACTCCTCCTGCGGCTTATAAACCGGGTGAGGATATCCATTCTGTTCAGGGAAGAACGTCGCCTCTCTGGAGGACTTCGCCGTCGCCAGATGTTTGTTCAAGGTGTGCGTCGCTTTGAACGCAGCCAAATACGAGTCACGCGCTGTTCCGACGGAATCCTCTTCAGCTTTAACAGCGAGGAGGAATCCGCAGAGAAGTAGCAGAGAACTTAACCGGAATACAGCGAACATCGTCTGAGAGTTGCTGTCGCGAGGAAGGCCCGACGAAAAGTGAGCACTCGAAATAATTAAATTTTGCTTTTGATTATTTATGTCCTACTCTATTTCTTCGCTTTTGTACATATCATGTTTTATATTTGAGCATTCTTCCGGTTAACTAGTTTACTTGAATTGTTTTCCGGGCACGTACGCACAGCAATTGGGACGTATGTGACTTACACACGAATCAACGTTGAAAAATGAAATTAATTCCTCGACGCTCCTTCAAAACCTATCAAAAATCATAGAAAAACACACATCCAAACCCAAAATCTTCAACAGAATCATCATCTAACAAACATCAACGAAATTTTATTTAAAAATTTTACATTTAAAAATTGTAACCGAAAGAATATATGAACATTTACATGCAATATTGGTGCGTATCGGAATGCGTGGAATTCAATTTAATAGACGCAAAGAAAGTCACTAGCCCATTTTTTTCGTGCGGGTAAAAGAATACCTGTGAATGGGTTTTAATTGAATGCTCTGCATTATTTATTGGACGTTTCTGCACTTTCTGAGATTTCCAATTGTTTTGCGCGTGGCGAAAAGTTGGCTTAAAGAAGAGTAAAATTTAGAAAAGCGCGCGTTCATCTTTAATTCAACGCTTTTACTTTTTTTGTTCTCCATCGAACAGAAATAACATAAAATGTTCGAAAGTTCTCAACTTTCATTGAATTTTATTAAATTTTTGTTTGTTGTATATTTTTGAATTATCGTTTGAATATAGATTTTTTTCTTAATTGGAAAAGTAAAATTTGGAAAAGCGCGCGTTCATCTTTAATTCAACGCTTTTACTTTTTTTTGTTCCCAATCGAACAGAAATAACATAAAATGTTTGAAAGTTCTCAACTTTCATTGAATTTTATTAAATTTTTGTTTGTTGTATATTTTTGAATTATCGTTTGAATATAGATTTTTTTCTTAATTGGAAAAACAGTTAATTGTATAAGAAATTAACAATTTAAATAAAAGTTTACAATTTTAAATTATATTGATTAAAATATTCATTTTATGAATGAAAATTCACAATTTTGTAGTAACATTTATTAATGAAAATTTACACTTTTGCACTGAAATTTCATTGACTACAATAAATCATCTTTTATTAATGATTTTATTAATTATATTAATGAAAATGAATAATTTACATTTTTTTTACAAACAAAGTTATGTAAAACATGCAAAATAATATTAATTTTTTCAAACTATCAAATATAATAAAAATAAATAAATTTTACTTTAATCTTATTAAAAAAATACATAAAACATTGGATAAACGAAAATATAAACTGAAGATGAAAGAAAATCTAAAATTTTATAATTTTCTACTGAAATTTCATTCACTTTTTTCAGAAATAAAAATGACACTTTCCAATAAAATATATCTTTTTACAAAGTTAACTAAAACATACAAAATAATATTAATTTTTCAAACATGATTATCAAATGTAATAAAAATAAATAAATTTTACTTTAATCTTATTAAAAAAATACATAAAACATTGGATAAACGAAAATATAAACTGAAAATCTAAAATTTATACAAACAAAATTGAAGAAAATGTTAATTATATGAATGAAAATTTATAATTTTCTACTGAAATTTCATTCACTTTACAATAAAACATCTTTTTTCAGAAATAAAATTAAAAAAAAAATTGTATGAATGAAAATTTATAATTTCGTACACTTTCCAATAAAATATATCTTTTTACAAAGTTAACTAAAACATACAAAACAATATTAATTTCTCAAACATGATTATCAAATGTAATAAAAATAAATAAATTTTACTTTAATCTTATTAAAAAAATACATAAAATATTGAATTAACTGAAAATGAAAGAAAATCTAAAATTTACACAAAACAAATTGAAGAAAATGTTAATTATATGAATGAAAATTTATAATTTTCTACTGAAATTTCATTCACTTTACAAAGAAACATCTTTTTTCAGAAATAAAATTGAAGAAAATTCACAATTTCGTACACTTTCCAATAAAATATATCTTTTTACAAAGTTAACATGATTATCAAATGTAATAAAAATAAATAAATGTTACTTTGATCTTATAAAAATAAAACGTATAAAATATTGAATGGTAACACAAGATTAAATAAAACTAAAATTTGTACGTATTTCATTAATAAAGAAATACGTCGATTGAGTACGATTTGCGGCAGACCCACGTTCGATACTTAACATAATTCAGAAGTATGCCAAACGTGACCTCTTCTTTCGTCTATTAAAAATTATAATAATAATTCAAATCCATTTGTTCAGCTAATAAAGTTTCAATAAATTTTAGTTAAAAATTTATTCTTTAACCAACGGAAATCTAAAGATATTAAGTTTGTACTAAAAGTTCACAAATTTTTTTTAACAAATTTAACAGGAAGATGAAGGAAATATAGAATTTTTGATAAAAATAATATACAGTTATTTGATCAACTACGTATCCACCTGCAAAAATAATCAAAGTTATCTGTTATAATTGTCGAGTTCAAGTAGTTGGGCTAAATTTAAATAAATCGCAAACAAACAACCATAACAAAATTATTGATAACTATTTTTAGAAACAGGTATAAAAACGGAGAACTGCGTGCAGTGATCAAAGCAATCTGAAAATGAAGTTCTCTCTGATCGTTCTGTGTGCAGCAATCGGCGCTCTCCAAGGTAAATTTGAAATTTGAAAAATACTGAAATTTAGTTTTGTTATTAATTAAAAAAAAAAAGACGTAAATTTAGTTTTAAGTTTAATAACAACATATTTGGTAACTATGGTAATTTTGTAACTTTGAGGGTTGTAACTATGATGATTGTAACTATGATATTAAGTTTCGTTGGTAATTGAAAAAAAAAAAACAGACGTAAACTTAGTTTCAAGTTTAATAACAACATATTGTTTGTTGGTAACTATGGTAATTTTGTAACTATGATGGTTGTAACATTGAGGGTTGTAACTATGATATTAAGTTTCGTTGTTAATTGAAAAAAAAAAAACAGACGTAAATTTAGTTTTAAGTTTAATAACAACATATTTGGTAACTATGGTAATTTTGTAACTTTGAGGGTTGTAACTATGATGATTGTAACTATGATATTAAGTTTCGTTGTTAATTGAAAAAAAAAAAACAGACGTAAACTTAGTTTCAAGTTTAATAACAACATATTGTTTGTTGGTAACTATGGTAATTTTGTAACTATGATGGTTGTAACATTGAGGGTTGTAACTATGATATTAAGTTTCGTTGTTAATTGAAAAAAAAAAACAGACGTAAACTTAGTTTCAAGTTTAATAACAACATATTGTGGTTGAAATTAAGATAGTTGTAACTATGATGATTGTAACTATGATATTATATAACAAATGAATTGTAGCAACGCCTGACAATCGTATCATTAACGGCGAGGAGGCCTACGATGGACAGTTTCCGTACATCGTTTCCATCCGCAACGTGCAGGAAGTCATGCACATTTGCGGCGCATCCATTTTGGACGAGAGCACGATTTTGACTGCAGCTCACTGCGTCTATGGGTATGGATTGATCAAATCCACCAATTCTCTATTATATTGTTGTAAATTTCAAATTGCAGAGTTAGTCCCTACGTGATGACCGTCATCGCCGGAACAATTTCCCCCGATCTCGGCGGTGGTCAGGAGCGTCAGGTGTCTTACTACACCATCCACGAGTACTACAACCCATCCAACTTGGACAACGATATTGCTATAATCAAACTGGAAACTCCGTTGACTATCGGACCGAACGTGCAGCCAGTTCTTTTGCCAATCGACAGTATTGTTGGTAACATGAATGTTATACTCAGCGGCTGGGGAATGACCAGTTATCCAGTCGGACAATCTCCGGAGATTCTCCAGTTTATGTACATGAGAACTGTTGAGTTGGACGAGTGCAGGAAGAGACATTCCACCAAGGTTTTGGATTCGCACGTCTGCACTTTCATCGCTGATGGACAAGGCGTGTGCCATGGCGATTCCGGTGGTCCTCTGGTCGATACATACGGATATCAAGTTGGAATCGTATCTTGGGCCATCCCGTGCGCTGTCGGTTATCCCGACGTCTTCACCAGGGTTTACTCCTTCTTGGACTGGATCCAAACCCATCGCTACTAAACGCTTGATAACGACACTTAATAAATGACAACAAACTGCAGAGAATTATTGATTTCATAACAATATTAATCATTTCCTATTTTTTTAATACCTTTTTTTATTATCTAAAGTTCGAAAGTATTTACAACAAATTCAGAATTTCAATTCTGAACATCTACAATAAAAGTTTTGGAAATTCCATAAAAAAAAAACAGCAAAACCTTAAGAAAATATTCTTGAAATTTACAAAAATTTGTAAATGCTCAAGAATTTCAAAAGAATTCGAGAATTAATTGATTTTAGATTGAAAATTTTTAATTTAAAAAATATCTATCAGAAATTTTGAAATTTCAAAAGAAGTCACTGGATTATGTTCTTCATTTTCAGATATTTGATGTAAATTTTTCTAAAACTTCAGAAGATGAAACAGTTTAAAAAAAAATCGAGTATTTGTTAGCAATAAATTTTCAAAAATCAGAATCAAATTGAAAATTTTAATTTAGAAAATGCGAAGATTTGATATTTCTTAATTTATATTGATTATAAAAACTAATTAATAAGAATTAATTACTTTTATTATTGTCATATTAGTTCAAGAACAAACTACAATAAATACTTTTTTTATAATTTTACAAAATTTTCAATTAGTTATTATTACCTATTAAATCGTACTAGATTTAGTCTCAATAATATAACAATATATAAAAACATGAAAAAAAATAAAATCACCACTCAAATTTTAATCAATTTATCTCAAAAATAATTATGCAATTGATTATCTGCTGCACTTTCGTTGCATAATATTTCCGATATAAACCAATTCAACAAAAAAAATCGATCTCAAAATATATTGAATTCCATAACACAAAATATTTTTGAGACAAAATTAATAAAAAACTTGACTATATTTAGAAATGGGCTATGGTTAGTTAACTAATTGTTAAAAAAAACATTTTCTGTTCCCTTATGGAAACGGATTAATTTTCTGAATTAATGTTGAGTTAAAAACTTTGCGTACTTTTTATTACTTGTATTTTTATTCACAATTTATTCATCAATGTGAACATTGATTAAATTGACTTTGACCAGGATTAGAACCATCGCCGGTTCGATCATTGGTAGATTAGATTTAAGTAAATTTATTAATTAGCAAATAAAAATTTTGATTGTTAGAATTAATTAGATGTAGAAGTTTTCTTAACAAATATTTTGTGGATCTATTACAAATCTAATCATAACTTTATTTTTCACTGTTATTTGCTAAATTTTAGAATTTTAAAGAATATTACATAATTGTATGTTGTCAAATAAAAATCTGTTAAAAATTTACGAATATTTATTTCCCAAACAACAAAAATTCCTAATTCCAATACAATCTACAAAAAAAGATAATTTTGAATCTTTTACAAATCTAAATATGTAATGAAAATACTTATTGGAATTATTATCAATTCATAACCTTTTCAAACTTTTTTTTTTAAACTTTTACAACTTTTTAGTTTTAATCAATATTTTATAATATTTAAAAGAAATTTGTAGAGAAAACATATAAAAATTGTTATTTTATACAATTTCCTCGTTAATTTGCATCCAATACTTTTTGTATCTTTCACAAATCTAATGATAACTATTTTTCAAAATTTTAATTACATATTTAGTTAACATTTGCAGTTTTAACTAATATTTAAAAATTTTAAATCATGTAATTAAAAAATACTTTTTGGGACTTTTAAAAATCATAAGTTTGTCAAAATTTTATTTACATATTCAATTAACATTTGCAGTTTTAACTAATATATAAAAATTTTAAATCATGTAATTAAAAAATACTTTTTGGGACTTTTAAAAATCATAAGTTTGTCAACATTTTCTTTACACTTCTACTAAACATTATAGAATTTATACAAGCAAGATTTGTAAAAATTAGGACAAATATGTTTATACACAAATAATACAATCATTATTTTACATCATTTGTCAACATTTCTAAGAAAAACAAGTACAGTTTTAACTAATATTTTATAATTTTTTAAAGAAATTTGTAGAGAAAAAATATAAAAATTGATATTTCATACAATTTCCTCGTTAATTTCCATCCAATACTTTTTGTATCTTTCACAACTCTAATGATAACTATTTTTCAAAATTTTATTTACATATTCAGTTAACATTTGCATTTTAAACTAAGATTTAAAAAAAATTAAATCATGTAATTAAAAAATACTTTTTGGAACTTTTAAACATCATAAGTTTGTCAAAATTTTCTTTACACTTCTACTAAACATTACAGAATTTACACAAGCAAGATTTGTAAAAATTAGTACAAATATGTTTATACACAAATAATACAATCATTATTTTACATCATTTGTCAACATTTCTAAGAAAAATAAGTACATTTTTAAGAGTAAATTAACAACTTTTTATTTTATCAACTTGCACACTTCGAACAGTAAATTTATTAATTAGCAAATAAAAATGTTGATTATTAGAATTAATTACCTGTAGTAGAAGTTTTCTTAACGAATGTTTAAAAAAAGTAACATCGAGTTTATGTAACTGCAAAATGTAATAATCTGTGTCCATAAATCTTTATGAAGTTTATAAAAGAATCAAAAATATAAATAACAATGATAACTCAATCATAATCATGATCTAGACTAAATTCAATTAGCTTCTCGCACATACGAGAGAGAGAGATAATAAAAAGTAATTTCGTTTCCTTTATCGGACTTAGGAGCTTGTGTCTTATTCGCATCAATATTTTGTTTTCGGAACTGTTTTTGAAAACAAAAACAAAACGCATATCCGAACCACTCGAAAAATTTAAAATTAAATGAGTAGAATTGAAGTGCCAAAAAAAAAAAGAAGATTAGTCGTTATCTACGCGGAAAAGTTTTATATAAAAACCAGTACTAAATTAGAGGTGAGCTACACAGTTGTCTGATCATTAAATAGGAATCATGAGTAAAGTAGCTTTTGTTGTGTTGTGCAGCCTCGCCGCTGCCATGGGTAAGTCTTAAGATGTGGATGTTGATTTTGATGGTAATCGATTGAATGTTGTAGCTATGCCACCTAAACTTGGCAGAGTCATGGGTGGAGAAATCGCTGAAGTCGGACAATTCCCGTTCGCCGCTTCTCTGCAATTCGATGGTCACCATTATTGCGGTGTTACCATCCTCGATGAATACACCGTCATCACCGTAGCCAACTGCGTTCTCCCGTAATAATCTAAAGATTTCAATGATTGTCACGAAGATCTTCAATGTCTTAAATTTCAGCAACTACCCAACTCGATTGAAGGTCGTCACCGGTTTGAACAAGATCTCCGCCGGTGGTGAAGTCCACAACATCAGGACAGTGCTCACCCACGGAAGATTCGCCGCTTCTCTTCAATACGACATCGCTTTATTGAAGTTGGTCACTCCAATCACCTTCAACGAGCTCGCTCAACCTGTGAAACTTCCAACTGGGACCACTGGTAGTAACGCCGATGTTACCATGAGCGGTTGGGGATCCACCGTGTACCCAGGAAACGTCGTCGACGATCTCCGTTACATCGACCTGAAGACCATGGACTACGAGAAGTGCAACAACAGGCAATCCTTCCAAGTCTTCTTCAACCAGATCTGCACCTTGACCAAAGCCGGAGAGGGTCTCTGTTCAGGAGATGCCGGAGCTCCGTTGACCAGCCCAGATGGTACCTTGGTCGGAATCGCCTCATGGGGAACCATGTGCGCTGTGGGAGACCCAGACGTCTACACCAGCATCTACCACTTCCTCGACTGGATCGAAACTAACCGTGTCTAATTTACAAACAAATAAAATTCTAACAATTAAACTTATTCTTTCACTTCCAACCAAAATCCTACTACTCTATCTACTCAAATTATCATAATTATCAAATTATATAATCAATTTAAAGAAATATGAAGAAATTAACTAAATATTTCAAGAATTTTATTTAATGTTTTTCTGTTTTTAATTTAAAAAATTGTATATTTTTATAATTAGAATAATTTTGTGCTATTGTTTATTAATAGATATGTAAATTATTGCGATAAGTTAATCGCTTTATTAATGGATTATTTAGTGATAAAAAGTGTCGAAGGTTGAGTTTTTAAAGAAAGTCTAGATTTGATAAAAAAAAAATCATTATTATTAGAAATCATATAGAATTGTCTATTGTTGCAAACAATGCCATTGAAATTTCAAAAATTCCTAATATTTTAGTAATTTATACATTTACTTACAAATAGATTTGAAAAGTTTCATCATTCTTTTATGTTAAATTAATAAATAAATTTAACAATAACGATGCAGTTGAGAATAATCTAAATATTTAAGTATGCAAGTTGTTAATTTATTTTTAAAAATGTACTTGTTTTTCTTTGAAATGTTGACAAATGATGTAAAATAATGATTGTATTATTTGTGTATAAACATATTTGTACTAATTTTTACAAATCTTGCTTGTGTAAATTCTATAATGTTTAGTAGAAGTGTAAATTTTTTTTGACAAACTTATGATTTTTAAAAGTCCCAAAAAGTATTTTTTAATTACATGATTTAAAAATTTTATATATTAGTTGAAACTGCAAATGTTAACTGAATATGTAAATAAAATTTTGAAAAATAGTTATCATTAGATTTGTGAAAGATACAAAAAGTATTGGATGCAAATTAACGAGGAAATTGTATGAAAAATTGTTTTCTCTACAAATTTCTTTCAAAAATTATAAAATATTAGTTAAAACTGTACTTGTTTTATTAGAAATGTTGACAAATGATATAAATAATGATTGCATTATTTGTGTATAAACATATTTGTACTAATTTTTACAAATCTTGCTTGTGTAAATTCTGTAATGTTTAGTAGAAGTGTAAAGAAAATTTTGACAACCTTGTGAAGTTTAAAAGTCCCAAAAAGTATTTTTTAATTACATGATTTAAAAATTTTATATATTAGTTAAAACTGCAAATGTTAACTGAATATGTAAATAAAATTTTGAAAAATAGTTATCATTAGATTTGTGAAAGATACAAAAAGTATTGGATGCAAATTAACGAGGAAATTATATGAAATATCAATTTTTATACAAATTTCTTTCAAAAATTATAAAATATTAGTTAAAACTAAAAAGTTGTAAAAGTGTAAAAAAAAAATTAGAAAAGGTTATGGAATATGTTTAGATTGATAATAATTCCAATAAGTATTTTCATTACATATTTAGATTTGTAAAAGATTCAAAATTATCTTTTTTATAGATTGTATTGGAATTAGGAATTTTTGTTGTTTGGGAAATAAATATTCGTAAATTTTTAACAGATTTTTATTTGATAAAATACAATTATGTAATGTTCTTTAAAATTCTAAAATTTAGCAAATAACAGAAAAAAACAAAGTTTGAAAAGGTTATGGAATATGTTTAGATTGATAATAATTCCAATAAGTATTTTCATTACATATTTAGATTTGTAAAAGATTCAAAATTATCTTTTTTGTAGATTGTATTGGAATTAGGATTTTTTTCAATTTGGGAAATAAATATTTAACAGATTTTTATTTGATAACATACAATTATGTAATGTTCATTAAAATTCTAAAATTTAGCAAATAAGTGAATGAATTAGATTTGTAATAGATAAAGAAAATATTTGTTTTTACATTCAAATTGTGTAATTTTGATTTGAATTATAACGAAGAGAGAAACGAGTAAAAACATATTTTTATGAGATATTTGTGTTGTTGTTGTTATATAATACTTTGTTTGTTATGCATTTCAATATTTTGGGTGAAAAAAGATACAAATCTATTATTTATATAAACCTCTCGAGTATTATATAAAAAAAGAATTGGATTCAAGTGCATGGAGATTAGTTATCTACAGGCATTTTTCCAATATAAAAAGGGAAGCGTATCACAGATGCAGTACAGTTACCAAAACGATAATCATGGGTAAAGTAGCTTTTGTAGTGTTGTGCAGCCTTGCCGCTGCTATGGGTAAGTCTTAAGATATAGAAAAAATTGATGATGATGATGATGATTGATCTGGTTTTGTAGCTTTGCCAGCCAAAGTTGGCCGCATCATGGGTGGAGATGTTGCCGCACCAGGACAATTCCCGTTCTCCGCTTCCATGCAATTCGACGGTTACCACTACTGCAGCGCGACCATCCTCGATGAATACACCGTCATCACCGTAGCCAACTGCGTCCTCACGTAACAAACTAATGATGATCGCTTGAAAGGTTTTTAATTTTGAAATGGAATTTGCAGGAGCTTCCCGACCACCATGAGGGTCATCACCGGCATGAACAGGATCACCACCGGCGGTGAAGTCCATGAAGTCAAGACTGTCGTTGCCCACGGAAGATTCGCCGCTTCTCTTCAATACGACATCGCTTTATTGAAGTTGGCCACTCCGATCACCTTCAACGAGCTCGCTCAACCTGTGAAACTTCCAACTGCCACCACTGGTAGCAACGAGGACGTCACCTTGACCGGCTGGGGTTCCACCGAGTACCCAGGCAACATCGTCGACGATCTCCGTTACATCGACCTGAAGACCATGGACTACCAGAAGTGCAACAACAGGCAATCCTTCCAAGTCTTCTTCAACCAAATCTGCACCTTGACCAAATCCGGTGAGGGTCTCTGCCAAGGAGACGCCGGTGCACCGTTGGTCGCCAAAGACGGCTCTCTGGTAGGAATCGCCTCCTGGGGAACCATGTGCGCCGTTGGAGACCCAGACGTCTACACGAGCATCTACCACTTCCTCGACTGGATCGAAGAGAACCGCGTTTAAATCCAATTATTTAAACACATTTATTTCACACAAATCAATAAACAGAAACTAAAAATAAATCACTGCAACGTCTTAATTTTAACCGGCACCCCGAATTCCACGTTCAAACTAATCAACTCGTTGGCTGTGGGAAACAAACAGTACTGATTGATCTCTCTCATAGTCGGCGTCTTCAGCAACATCTGCAGCTTCATCAAAGCCTACAATATAAAATATTAATTCTCTTAGAAAATTATTTATTTAATTTTTTCTTACCTTAAAACACGGCTTAGGTAGATTTCCCTCCAAGTAAATATCCTTGATCCTGAAGATCTCCTGAAGCGGAATCTTCAGAGCTATAGTAAACAAACCTCCGATCGACAGAAATTTCTCGTAGATTCTCCTACTGTACACGTAATTCGTGCTGTACAACATCTTGCAAGCGGACTCGTTCAAAACCTTGATCTGCATCCAGATCATCTCGAGGCAATAATTCTTCATCGAAGCTTCGATGAAGAACAGGTAAGAATTACCGTTATCTATCATGAAACCAGTCACCAGTTCCGAAGTCGTATCCAAATTGTTGCCATCCTGTATCTGCATGTAATTGCACACGATCACCTCCTGAGTCAAATCCTGGTTTTGGCTTAGAATCTCGTTGAGAAGGACGACCGCAACTTCTTCTTTGTACACGATCAGAAGCAATCGTCTGAAGAATTCGGGTGTCGCGAGCATCTGACTGATTCCATACAAGGGAGCGCCGAGGAAGACTTCAATCTTCAAAGAGGTTCCGTGCGTCAACAAGTCGGTGTCCTTAAGCGGCGTGTATCCTTTGAAGTTCGTCGTTGGGTCGAGATGGATCTTGTTCAGTGTGGGACCTATTGGATAGTCGAAGTTGCGATAAAGTCGGTCCACGTCCATTGCCTGCAGATTGTCCGGTGATCGGAACGCTTCGACGAGCTTCAACATCTGGATGTGATCCAGCAATTGGGATAAATCAAAACAGGCGGTGCCCAAAACTACAACCGTTTCATCCTCATCGACGAACTTCTTGTAAGAAAACTTGCAGTCAGGATGGAAAAGCGAAGGCTCAATTTCCGGTTTCATCCTAGTCCCTACAAGCTATTAAAAAACAATAATTAACATTTATTCAAATAAATAAAATAAATTGATTAAATCAATATTTACTTCAACGCAAAACCTCCTGGTTTGCAAGAATTCAATAAGAACATGCGCATCCAAATTGAAGTAAACGTGAGCGTCCAGTATCCTTATGTCTTTAACTATTTCCTTCTCCAAGGTCGTGGCTCTTGCAATGTTAGGTACATTATACTGCAAATACAAAGAAGTGAATCTAAAAAAAAGTTAACAATTAGATTTGTGTCTAGATTGCATAAGTATTATTCTATTAACCCTTCTTTTTGAAGGATCTCCACAGGCAAATTCTTGACCATCTTCAATTTAATAACCAAAGGATTCATCTCGGCCTGAGCCTCAACGGTCATCAAATCCTTCACCCTAGTAAGCACGTACATCTTCTGTATCTTATCCATCGTTTCTTTCGTTCCGTGCACGCACAAATTGGAATCAGTGAAGAAAGATTCGCCAGACAACGACATCTTCAAATTAACCTTTTTCTTCTCCTTCTTAGATTTCTTACTTTTCTTCCTCTCCTTTTTACCTTTCTTACCCTTTTTCCCTTTCTTATCCCTCTTCTCTTCTTTAGGTAATTCGACTAATTGAATAACTTCTTCGGGACAGAAATCCTCCGGCAAAGATTCCAACGTGTTCGGTGTAAACTCTTTGAAGCTGTAATCACCCGTCTCCAATATCCGGAGCATCCGTTCAAAAATCAGTTTATCTTTGAAAATCCAATTTATTTATTACGCAAATTTTAGAAAACGTCAATTAACACCTGAGCAAATTGTTTTCCTTGAAATCGGAGCAATTTCCTCGACGTTCGGATCCTGATCGAAGGCTTCAAGGAAACCCTTCGTTTCCATCTCGTTCGCTCTCACGTAAAACGCTTTGGTTTTCTCCGATCTCGCACTGAAATTACACGCAAATCGATCAAAGTTATTACAATTAATTCATTTCGCTCACCTCTGGCCCACTTTATTCTTGCTGGGTGAAGCCGTACACTGGATCACGTGCTTCTGCAGCTGCAGCAGTTCGTCCTGCTCCAAATCCTCAACTCTGTGCTCAACGACGACCCCAATCCAGATCGCGCCGTCCCGTTTGCAGCTTGTAAAAGCGACGCTCTCATCAGCAGTAAAAATCTTTTGTTAGCAAAGAAACATCTTATAGGGATTAGCAAGAAAAAACTAATTCAGTTCTGTTCATTTAATTATTTACTTTGTAAACAGTTTCCCAGTAAACCACGTCCACGCTGTAACTCATATTCGGCAGCAAATTGTAATCGATGTGAATAAACCCTAAAGGTTTATCAACTTCGTACAGATACTCGGGTTTCTGCACTTCCACCGAAGAAGCTTTGGTTTTCTTCGAATCCTTGGATTTGCTCCTCTTCGAATCCTTCGATTTGCTCCTTTTAGAATCCTTCGATTTTTCCCTTTTCCACGTTATTACATCACTCTCATCAATATTCAAGTTGTTACCTTTTCGATTTGTTCCTCTTCGACTTTCCCTTTTTCTCAGAAGCCTTCGGCATTTCGGGAATGCACAGCAAAACGCCGAATTTGAATTTAATCATTATTGAAACACAAAAACACTTTTGACACCGATCAAAAAAAATTTACAAAATTACATCACAAACGTCAGAATTACTGATTTGATGACTGCACAAAATAGACGTAAATTACTAAATTACTAAACAAAATAAATCAAATTTATTAAGAAAATTTGCCATTATTTTAAAACTAAATAACTTTAATGGTTTGGACACAATTTTATCCAAATTCCGATTAAATTAAAGTCTTTTGTGATCTAATAAAGTTCATCTTAGCTAGAAAAGATAAATACTTAATTTGAAATCATTAAAACGCATCAATTTCTTCTTAAGTATAAAAAAAACTGTAATTACCAACAAAAATGAAAATTTTAGACGAATTTTATCATTTAAAACTTTAAAAAAAATTACGGATTGGGACAAGAAATGTAAAATTGATTACTCAGAGCACTGAACGCTTTATTCAAGAAATACGTTTCGACAAAAAAAAAACATAATTATTAATAATAATACAAAGATAAAAGAAGTGAAACAAATACAAAATACATCAATAACGATGAATAAATACGAAGGAAAAGATAGAAACAAAATAAATTAATTAAACAGAATCGTTCACATTTTCATTATCCATAAATTCGTTACTAAATGCAATTGCAGAGATTTTTCCTTCTCATTTAATCAAATCCAATAATTTTTCCTTCCACATAATTGAAATTAAGATTTTCACAAAAGAAATTAACAAACATATTACAAACTAGATAGATTAGATCTTCGAAATATTCTTTTAGATTTACGAATGGCAGTGCAATATATATATATATTTTTACTTTTTATATATATATTTTTTTTAATTTACTTAAACCTCTTTTACACACTTAAATTACTTTTCGGGATACGATCTATTATTTACTCATTTTTTTTAATTCATCGTAATTATTATTTAATTTTTTTTTTTGTTATTATTGACTAATTTTCTCTTTTTTTTCTCGATTTATCGATTAATTAATGGATATAATATTGTGTTTATTTAGTTTATAGAGAGTATTCATTAGTAATAGTAGTAGTAGTAGTAGTTATATAAGCCCTTAAAACATTTATAGTATATAGTAACGTCGTTCAATTATTTCCTACGAAATCTTCGATCCGCTGAAGTTTCGACAAATATTTAGCGCTGTGTCTTCTTTCTAATTCCTCTTTGGTTTTTCGAAAGTTTCACACACACACTTTCAAATATTAAATTAAACGAAAAAATAAGAAATGAATCTTTCGTTTCTATAAATGTGAAGCATTTCAGTGCCTAAGAACGAAAGCCTAGACGTATTTCTTAATTAATATTTAATTAATTTAGTATTTTATTTAGATTCATCATAGATATAAGCAAAAAACCTCAATAAAATTTCTCCGTGTTTCTCTCTTTTAAATATATTCAAAAAATTTACCTAACATTTAATATTATAACTCTCCAATTAATTAATTATTTTGTTAATCTTTCTTTTTTGTTCATAAACTTCTCGAGAAAATATATTTTTACCCAATTGCACCAAAAAAAAAAAAACACTAAATGCAATCAAAGTTGTTAATTAATTATATAGAATATTTACAGAACCGTACAGAAAACTAAAATGAAAATGCGCACTTTGCGATAGAGCGCGAATTTATAGGGGAAAGGAAATGCGGAATAGAAGAATATAAAGATACTAAAATTTCTTATTTTTTTAGAAAAAATAAATAGAACTTTTCTTCAGTCGTTTTAGGGAGAAGGGAGAAAAAAGCTTTAAGTTTCACATTTTGAAATCGGCTCAATTCTTTAAAGCGGAGAATCCGTGCCGTGAATTTTGAAGTGAAAAGCGATGAAAATATACTTTTGATATGCACGGAAACGACGATGAAATGCTTCAGATTTTCGTTCAAATCTGCTAATTTCTTTTGCTTACGCGAAGCTCACAAAACGTTTCACTAACTAAAGTGTACACGGGGGGTGGGTTTAAGGGTGGATTTTATTATACTAAACGTGGAATGTCGTATGTTGTAATTGAAGGTGGCAAAAATCGCGAAGGTGCGAACTTAGAACTAATTACTAGAACTTAACTTCTTGGGTTGCGATCCCGGCTCGGAAACCGGAACTGTTTACTATATAATATGTACAACGGAAATACACAGAAAAAAAAATATAAAAAGGAGAACTAAGTTTAACTTAAAACGAGACTTGTCTGCTTGTTATTTACACTCGTAAATAATCACCAAAATCTTTGCGACAGAAAAAAATTGTTGTTGTTGTAATCTTCTTTTGTTGTTATGGATAATTCTGTTTTTGGGGGTTGTGTTTTGTGGTTGTGGATTTGGTGATTTCGCCGTTTTGGTAGAATTTGCATTAAGAAATAAAGACGTTCTCGAGTTTAGCGAGAAGTTAATTATAGTAAGAGGAATTTGGCGATCAGAAGCATGATCAGGTGAGGGGCGAATTGGAGGTTGCTGGCCTTGGACACCCTGATGTCTCCATCCTTGAGGAACGGTCGGTCGATGACGTGGATGACGCCGTTGGTGCATTCGACGTTAGGTCTGAAGACCGGGATCTCTTCACCCTTCCAGTAGATCACGAAAGCTGCGGAGAACAAACAAACCAATTAATTATTTGTAAACCTTCGTGGACGATCGGCGGATATATTCGCCATATCCTTGACACAGAAAACTTCGGTTATGCAAAATTGTATACAAGTTCACGTTAATTCTTATACAACTTTAACTTTGTACGAGTAGTTCCAAAATATTATGTAGTTGGTGACAGTTATGTGACAGGTGTACCAACTATTTTTTGGGTATCACTAGATTTCCATGGAAACAACAAGTTTTGCGCATTTTAGACAAATATTTATGTTTCATTACGCACATAATGTGAAAAACATAATATTTTGAAAATTAGCTAAAATTTCATTATTAATATTAAGAAAAATAACTTTAATGTAATTTTTCTTTAATAATTTGTAGAAATAAAACAAAAAATATGATTTCCACTAAATTTATAAATTTGATTGAATTAATTTGTAAATTCTATTAAATTACATAATTTTCTACTTTGTAAAACTTCCCGGACAATCGGCGGATATATTCGCCATACCGTTGACACAGAAAACTTCGCTTGTGCAAAATTGTATATAAGTTCACGTTAATTCATATACAATTTTAACTTTGTACGAGTAGTTCCAAAAGAATGTCAATGTATTCAAATATTATGTAGTTGGTTACAGTTATGTGACAGGTGTACCAACTATTTTTTGGGTATCACTAGATTTCCATGGAAACAACAAGTTTTGCGCAATTTTTGACAAATATTTATGTTTCATTACGCACATAATGTGAAAAACATAATGTTTTGAAAATTAGCTAAAATTTCATTATTAATATTAACAAACATAACTTTAATGTAATTTTTCTTTAATAATTTGTAGAAATAAAACAAAAAATGAGTTTCCACTAAATTTATAAATTTGATTGAATTAATTTGTAATAATTTTCTACTTTTTTTAAATTAAATAATCATGATTAGATCAGATTCCATCCATTCCTTATGGAAACAACAAGTTTTGCGCATTTTTGACAAAAATTTATGTTTCATTACGCACATAATGTGAAAAACATAATGTTTTGAAAATTAGCTAAAATTTCATTATTAATATTAACAAACATAACTTTAATGTAATTTTTCTTTAATAATTTGTAGAAATAAAACAAAAAATATGATTTCCACTAAATTTAGAAATTTGATTGAATTAATTTTAAATTACATAATTTTTAAATTGAATAATCATGATTAGATCACATTCCTTTCATTCCTTATGCAAACTTTCATTACTTCCATCATCACCATCATTCCTGGAATAAAGGCGAATTTATAAATTATAAAAAAAAAACTGTTGAAAGCGCAGACAATGTAAAATAATGAATTTGGTGACTGAACGCGTAATTGAGGTTCCTGAAGTTTGGCGCGCTTTAATTTAGATGGCGCGCGCGTACATAAAACGGGATAAGGTTTCTTATTGCTAATTGAAGGGTTAAATTCTGAAATGTAATTATATCGGCGTTGGCGGTGGCTGCTCACGTCTCCGATCTTCCTTTCCTCTCTTACACTCACTCTCAAACACACCTCAATCTCCCTTTTGCTCTCACACACACACATATATAGATATAATTAGACGACAAACAAATTATTGGGATTAGATGCGCGCCAGCCGCTCCGCTCCGCACGTAATTTTAGTGAAGTTTTAAAGGCTTTTGCTTGTAATCCTTGCAGTAGATTTGCCGCAAAGAGAGAAGAGTGGAAGCAGCAGCCTCAGGACAACCAACCGGAATTATTTTGATAGCGGCCAATTTGCATTTTCAATTAAAACGGGGAACAAACACCCTTTTCCATTTATTTATTATTATTCAGGGTCTCGACATCTCCGCTTTTTATTAGTTTCTTCCCCCTTTTTTTCGTCTCTTCTCTTCGCAAATCTCTTTTCTGTTCGCTGTAGAAGACTGCGTCGTATCCTTTAATTGGTTCCGTTGATCTTATAGCCAAGTCGCGCCAAGCTCTGAGACTCGTTAAGAGATTAAGATGGGAAGCTTTCAGCGTCTCTGCAGAACGTGTACTCTCTCTCTCACTGTTTGTTATTTACTTATTTTTGTTTCGTTTCTTTCTACACATTTCCGTCGCGCAGATCTTTAACACCTGTTTAAAACTCACTAGCACTAGCAATTATGAAAATTTCCTTCAAAACTATCTACTTTTATTTGTTCATAAATTCCAACACACAAAACAGAAAATTCCATAACTAGTAATTAAGAATTGTATTATTTCGATTGAATTTCGGTTTAATTTGTTTTAATTAGTGGAGCATTCGCGTTATTGCGGTGTAATCAGATCTAATTATGCGAATTCACGTTTTACCATGAAAATTATCAATTTAAATTTTCATATTTACAATTAATTAAACATATCTATAAACAACAAATCAATTATTTTGCTTTCAGACTATGAGTAAAATGAAATATACAAATTTGTCAGAAATACATTCAAAATCGTAAAAAAATACTTAAAATATGATGGTATAATTTAAAAAGCTTGCATTTTATGTAAGAATTCATGTGATTGCAGCAATTAAGAGAATGCAATTAGTGTTTGTTCAAAGTGTGCAAATATTTGTTTTTAATGATAATAATTGCTCGTCTTGAAACTTTCATTACTTCCATCATCATCATCATTCCTGGAATAAAGGCGAATTTATAAATTATATAAAAAAAACTGTTGAAAGCGCAGAAAAAACAGAAAATTCCATAACTAGTAATTAAGAATTGTATTATTTCGATTGAATTTCGGTTTAATTTGTATTAATTAGTGGAGCATTCGCGTTATTGCGGTGTGATTACACAGATCTAATTATGCGAATTCACGTTTTACCATGAAAATTATCAATTTAAATTTTCATATTTACAATTAATTAAACATATCTATAAACAACAAATCAATTATTTTGCTTTCAGACTATGAGTAAAATGAAATATACAAATTTGTCAGAAATACATTCAAAATCGTAAAAAAATACTTAAAATATGATGGTATAATTTAAAAAGCTTGCATTTTATGTAAGAATTCATGTGATTGCAGCAATTAGTGTTTGTTCAAAGTGTGCAAATATTTGTTTTTAATGATAATAATTGCTCGTCTTGAAGCGTGTTTGATGTGAAATAATTAATATTGCTTTGAGTGTGAAGCGTAGAAAAAAACAAATAGGTTTGCACACATTGAAAAAAAAATATAAATTTGATTGAATTAATTTTAAATTACATAATTTTTAAATTGAATAATCATGATTAGATCACATTCCTTTCATTTCTTATGGAAACTTTCATTACTTCCATCATCATCATCATTCCTGGAATAAAGGCGAATTTATAAATTATATAAAAAAAAACTGTTGAAAGCGCAGACAATGTAAAATAATGAATTTGGTGACTGACTTAAAATATGATGGTATAATTTAAAAAGCTTGCATTTTATGTAAGAATTCATGTGATTGCAGCAATTGGTGTTTGTTCAAAATGTGCAAATATTTGTTTTTAATGATAATAATGGCTCGTCTTGAAGCGTGTTTGATGTGAAATAATTAATATTGCTTTGAGTGTGAAGCGTAGAAAAACAAATAGGTTTTGCACACATTGAACTTACTTGAATTAGCGGCGGGATTAGCTAAGGAAAATTTGATTTGAATCTTTGTACAATGAGAAAATAAATGATGTTATTGATGCAAACTCACAGTGGTCTCGATTCTCCTTGACGAAAAGACTGAGTGAATCCCTTTGGGTGGGCAACTCGACCTCCTTGTGCGGATAGGACAGGTTCGTATCGTTCGTCAGCTGCTTGATTCTCTCCATCGTGTACGGAATGTCGGAGATAACCAGATGCCGTTCCAGAATCTGATTCGCCTGTAAAGAGTAAAGAGGGAGAGAGTTAATATTTTTGTGAAAACGTAAACTAGGTAAAATCCCTACGTGATAGGTGAAATCCTCCATGAAGAGCTTCTTGATGGCAGATGGAAGGTCGATGCTGGCGTCCTTCCAGGCTTTATCTCTCGGAACGAAGTACGTGAACTTGCGAGTCGTGTCGTTTAATTGCTGGTTGAATCCGCTGCGTTTCCCCAAGATGTACGTCTGACTGAAAGCGTAAAGTAACGAGAATTGTATATAAGATAGGGTCTTAGCGTTTGTTATTATTATTATTAATAACGCGTTGGAGGAGGAGAGCAAAACGAGCCATTGTGTGTTGTTTGTTCTCTTTTTTTTTTGTTCTGTGCTGCGCCGTGATTTAAATGAAAATCTCGAGTGTGGAAGAAATTTGCGAGTTGGGGGATGCTTTTAGCAGTAATACTCTGTTATCCTCGCAAATATTCTGAAAGAACTGACATTGACAGAATCCATTATAATACAACAACAAAAAAAAATATAGAAAAATTAATGAGAATGAACAATCTTTCCAAGTGGAAAATTTTCATGACATTAAAGATTAGTATTTTAGAAATTAATCATCTGAAGAAAACTTTTTGATGATTGAAAATCTGAAAAGTTATGTTATTATCTTAAGGGGTTGTCGAGAAATTCACGAAAACCCGAAAAAAAAAACGAGAAAACCGTCGTTTCTCTGTTACGTATAAAACGTTAAGTGTGTGTTTTTTTTTGTCAATTTCTACAGCTTATAGCAGGCGACTCGATAAAAGCACTAAGATGTTTGTAGGCTTGTTGGAAAGACAAAATATTCAGCTTTCATACGAGTGGTCGATGATATAATTATCTTAAGGGGTTGTCGAGAAATTTACGAAAAACTGTAAAAACTGAATAAAATACGAAAAACAACATTCTACAGCTTATATCAGACGAGTCTATGACATCACAAAGATGTATATAGGCGCGTTGGAAAGGTGAGATTTTCAGCTTTCATACGAGTGGTCGATGATGTAATTAGCTTAAGGGGTTGTCGAAAAATACACGAAAACCCGAAAACACTGAACAAAAATCGACAAAACCGTCGTTTCTCTGTTACGTATAAAACGTTAAGTATGTGTTTTTTCTTTCAAATTCTACTGATCATAGTAGGCGACTCGATGACAGCACAAAGATGTATGTAGGCTTGTTAGAAAGACAAAATATTCAGCTTTCATATGAGTGGTCGATGATATAATTATCTTAAGGGGTTGTCGAGAAATTCACGAAAAACTATAAAAACTGAAGAAAAATACGAAAAACAACTTTCTACGGCTCATATCAGACGAGTCGGTGACATCACAAAGATGATTGTAGGCGCGTTGGAAAGGTGAGATTTTCAGATTTTATACGAGTGGTCGATGATGTAATTAGCTTCAGGGGTTATCGAGAAATTCACGAAAACCCGAAAACACTGAAAAAAAAACGAGAAAACCGTCGTTTCTCTGTTACGTATAAAACGTTAAGTGTGTGTTTTTTTTGTCAATTTCTACAGCTCATAGCAGGCGACTCAACAACAGCACTAAGATGTATGTAGGCTTGTTGGAAAGACAAAATATTCAGTTTTCATACGAGTGGTCGATGATCTAATTATCTTAAGGGGTTGTTGAAAAATTCACGAAAAACTGCAAAAACTGAAGAAAAATACGAAAAACAACATTCTACGGCTCATATCAGACGAGTCGGTGACATCACAAAGATATATGTAAGCGTGTTGGAAAGGTGAGATTTTCAGCTTTCATACGAGTGGTCGATGATGTAATTAGCTTAAGGGGTTGTCGAGAAATACACGAAAACCCGAAAACACTAAAAAAAACGAGAAAACCGTCGTTTCTCTGTTACGTATAAAACGTTAAGTATGTGTTTTTTCTTTCAATTTCTACTTATCGTAGCAGGTGACTCGATGACAGCACAAATATGTATGTAGGCTTGTTGGAAAGACAAAATATTCAGCTTTCATATGAGTGGTCGATGATATAATTATCTTAAGGGGTTGTCGAGAAATTCACGAAAAACTATAAAAACTGAAGAAAAATACGAAAAACAACTTTCTACGGCTCATATCAGACGAGTCGGTGACATCACAAAGATGATTGTAGGCGCGTTGGAAAGGTGAGATTTTCAGCTTTTATACGAGTGGTCGATGATGTAATTAGCTTCAGGGGTTATCGAGAAATTCACGAAAACCCGAAAACACTGAAAAAAAAACGAGAAAACCGTCGTTTCTCTGTTACGTATAAAACGTTAAGTATGTGTTTTTTTTTCAATTTCTACAGCTCATAGCAGGCGACTCGATGACAGCACAAAAATGTATGTAGGCTTGTTGGAAAGACAAAATATTCAGTTTTCATACGAGTGGTCAATGATATAATTATCTTCAGGGGTTGCCGAGAAATTCACGTCGTTTCTCTCTTACGTATATATTTATAACGACAGATACAAAATCGACAATTCAATTTGTTTATTATTAAGTTTAATTGGACGATAATAATTTTTCTAATTTATGAATGTTCTTGACATCAAGTTTAATTACAGGACAAGAATTTCTGATTTCAGCTATATTTCAAATGAATAGAGAACTTCTTGGAAATGTATTGTGTTAAAATGTCGGTAGTTTACAAAGATATTCAGAATATGACTGAAAACTGTGAACAAAAAGTGATATTAATCTTAAATGTCCTGAATATAATTTGAAAATAAGAATTACTGAAAGTGTTGTCTCTGATTTCATCTATTATTGTGCATCCTACTGTTGAAATGTCTGCAGTTTAGAACGGGTCTAAAGACTCTCGTCCAAGTGTTTGTGTATGCATTTAGCTGTAATACTGGAAACGCTGTTATCGCCGCTGAAACGTTCTCAAATATTCCAAGGAAATGACGAGGACCGAGTTTCATTATATAACGACAGAGACCCTCGTAAAATATGAAATTGTGCAAAACCCTTTTCCGCCGGGTCGTCTCCATTACGTTTAATTGTACTTACTTTAATAGGGGATCAGTACGCAGCTTGTCCAGGACGGTGGAGTACGGTACGCCAAGAACTCGATCGATGATGTGGATGATACCGTTCGTCGCTGCCAGATCGGACTGGATGACCGTCGCGTTGACGCCACCTCCTTCGACGGTGAGAGTCTTGTTGTTCCCAGCGAAAGCCACATTGAAGTACAGATTCTTTTTCTTGTTGAGCGTTGGAGCCTGATAAACCTAAATAGATAAATATCTCTTTCGAGCACATACTACCCTAGTGCTACCACCCACAACGGCAAAATAAAAACGCTTAACGCAAAACAAATATAAAGAGAAAACGAAACGAGACGTCGACAGAATAAAAAAAACAACTAGCTCAAAAAACAACGAGACGCACTCTCCCCAAACACCTCTCCGTGACTGTGTGTGTGTGAATAATTTGCAATCAGCGTGTGGATTGAGCTAATTTCCATGTAAGGTGGACAATTCCGAATACAATTTGAAAAAAAGGATTAAATTTTCCTTTACGAAATAGAAAAAACTGCTTTTCTTCTCTAGTTGATATGTGAGAGAAAGAGATAGAAAGGATGGAAGGAAAGATGAGACGATTTGTGTGTATGGTTTACAATACCTTCCGTTGCGGTTCCGGCCTTTCATCCACCTTACATTTTCTAATCTAATCGAACTCCAGTGATGTTAATAATAATAATTGTAAATTTGTAAATTGAATGAACCAAAAAGTTGGAAAACAAAGCCATACGTGTCTGTTGTGATCTTTGATAATGTTCTCGAGGTAGAGCCGCTTGTCGACGACGAGATGCATGTTGAGGATTTCGCGCATCTTCACCGGGTCCCTGAGGAGGCTCTTCAGGTTTCCGTCATCCCAGGCGGCGTTGCTCGGAGCGAACAGGGTCAGGTCGTGGGAACGCTCGATCGTGCGCATGAATTCCTTACCGACGTCCCCGGCATCCGCGATCTCCTGACAGAACTTACTCAACGGTCCGTCTTCCTTCTCCTTTAATCCGCGACACCCCAAGAAAAGAAGAAACACACAACATATTCTAGGTTTTAGGAGGCCGCGTTTTACTCAGGACACATGACACAGAAACAAAAAAAAAAAGAAACAAACAAAAACAAAAGAAATTATATAGAAAACATTAATCGTAGTATCACGAGTCATCAAAATACTTGTTCTCAATTATAAGTCAATATTTAAAAAAAATAATCTTTAGAAAATAATTAAAAATTTCTTATTTCCTTTCAAAAATTTAACTAATTTTTAATATTTTCTTTACGAAATTATATTTTTTTATAAATCTATTCAAAATTTAGTTCATTTTAAAAGAAATTTTAATTTAAATTTAATACACAAAACGTTAGAATTTTATTTAAATTAAGAAAAACTATTTTTTCTTTTTCAAAATTTAATATTTTCTGTCTAAAATTAGACTTTTTTTTATAAATTATAATTTTCAATGACAGTTATTGATTTTCTTTAAAAAAAATTACCATATCTTCACAAAATTTCACAAATGCATTAAAATTGTGATTTATTTCTTATTTCACATAAAAATCGTTGTTTTCTCAATTAAACTTTTCGATTTTCTCTCTAGAATTTACAATTTCTTTACAAAATCACAATTGTTTAGAACAATTATTTAATTATTATATCAATTTGTGCAAATATAACAAATTATTTTATGCAAATACAAAAGTAATGAAGTTTGTATTTTTTTCATATTTCACATAAAAATCGTTGTTTTCTCAATTAAACTTTTCGATTTTCTCTACAAAATCTTTACAAAATTACAATTTCTTTACAAAATCACAATTGTTTAGAAATAAACCAATAAAATGTATATAATTTTATGTTTCTGAAGATTTTAAAAAGTAATAATTTTTAGTCAATAATTTAAATATTTTATTATATAATATCAATTTGTGCAACTATAACAAATTAATTTATGCAAATACAAAAGTAATGAAGTTTGTAGAATATTTCCAATACAATTTTCATAAAACTTTACTCAATTATAAGAAAAATGAAATAATTTTAAATTATTAATTGCACTAAGAAAAATCTAATTAATTTTGTTTATAGAAAATGTAAATTAAGAAAAACTATTTTTTCTTTTTCAAAATTCAATATTTTCTGTCTAAAATAAGACTTTTCTATATAAATTAAAATTTTCATTAATTTTCAATGAAAGTTATTGATTTTCTTTAAAAAATTTACCATATCTTTACAAAAATTTTACAGATGCATTGAAATTGTAATTTATTTCTTATTTCATATAAAAATAGTTGTTTTCTCAATTACATTTTTCGATTTTCTCTCTAGAATTTACAATTTCTTTACAAAATTACAATTGTTTAGAAATAAACCAATAAAATTTACATGTTGCTGAAGATTTTCAAAATCAATAATTTTTAGTCAATAATTTAAATATTTTATTATATTATATTAATTTGTGCAAATACAAAAGTAATGAAGTTTGTAGAATATTTCCAATACAATTTACATAAAACTTTACTCAATTATATGAAAAATTGTAATAATTTTAAATTATTAATTGCACTAATAAAAATCTAATAAATTTTGTTTATAGAAAAAGTACATTAAGATTCAAATTAAACATTTTAATAAAAAAGTTCGTTTCTATTTTTGTGTGCTAATTAAATTAATAAATTTCATCTTTTTCCTTCAGTACGTTTATTTCTCTTTCATTGCGTTTTTTTTCAGTGTCAATATTTAATGAAAAACTAATAAAGTTTGCTGCTCTTTCAGTACGTTTCCCTATTTATTTTTATTACCATCAGAAAATATACATTAACATTCAAATGAAAAGTTGCGCAATTAAAAAAGAGCTTCGAAAACTATTTTAATATTAGCACAGGGCGAAAAACCGCATCGCAGTATAATTTCCCAGATGCCTTTCCATTGAAAACGAGCAGAAACATTCCCCTTTTTTCATCCACCCAGTGGAAATATTGAATCAAGCCAAAAAAAAATAAAGAGAAAAAGACGAAACTTTCCATCTGAACCGCAAAATATCATGCGCTGAAAACGTATGAATAATTTATATTTTCTATGCTTATGTACATATATAATTGAGAACAAGTTTCGAAACTCCAATGATGGTTGCAGCAGCAAGTTATATTAATGGCGTTATACAAACGTTAGTTTTAACATGCGGATTATGCAATGAATCAATTAATTGTAATTCGCGTTTCTTCAATTTTGAAAGAACGCGCGAGAATTGATTAACCCAAATTCTGCTGTAAAAAAAAAAGAAAAACAAAGTGAAATAAAGAACGGACTAATCGTAATAATTGTAGTTGAACAAAACATGCAAGCATGCAAACTTCTGGGTTGTTCCGTGTGTAAAACTAAAGAAAAAAACATCTCCGCTTTGCACTACTTAAGTATATTTTGTTTTAATCGAAATTAGGTGTTGATTAATTGTAATTAATAAAGTGTGTAAGAGATGGGGTTGGTTGGATGTACATTTTGTTGGGGTTATTTGCTTCGTGTGTTAACAACAACGACAACAGCAGACAGTGTGAGGGCGTGTAATTTTACCTTAAACTGCGCAGGGGATATCCAGAATGGTTGAGTAGAGAAGACAAATCGGAATGGAATGAAAAATTATTCGTTAAACAAAACAAAAAAAAACTTAATGGTGCACCTTGAATCAGTGCTTGCAAATTCTTGGTTTCAGATATAAAAAAAATGAGTGGAAATTAAAAATAAATTGTAGCTGTAGTAATAATAATAATAAATGGTGGGGTTTCTGTGAGAATTTTCTTTAATATCAATGGATGCGGCATCACCTACGTTTATACGAGTTGAATCCACAAAATCCTTAAGTTAAGAGAAGAATCAGAAGAAAATTAAATTTGTAATTTAAGAGATATTTGGAGAGTTTATTTTTTTACGGTTTTTTTTTCGGTCTTGTTGGTTTATTAGTTAGTTGAGGTAACTAAAAAAAAATGTAATAATTTATGGATGGGGTGGATTAATTTCAACGCCTAGACCTTAAGCTTTTTTTCCTTTTGGTGTTTATTTTATGGTGGATCGGGGGACTTACCTCCAGGAATTGTTTGACGGTATTATCGACGACCATTAGAGGTTTGTGGATGAGATGGACGACGCCGTTCTTCACAGGGATGTTCGCCTTGACGATCTCGGCCATCACGACTCCCTTGGTGTGAGCGGAGTCGGCGAGGCGATTGTGGCTCTTGACGTAGACTGAGTAAAGAGAGAAACGGGGATTAATGAGGCTCGAAATGGATGTGGTAGAAGAAGGAAAAGAAGAAAAAAGAGAGACGCACTTGCTGAGGATTTCCCGTGGGTTTCCTCCGAGAACGAGATGTAGACCTTCATGTTATCGACGTTGGCCAGAGTGTCGTATGAAATATCCTTGGTGGTTGGAGCGGTGAAGAGGACGTGTTTCGGTATAACGTGGCCATCGATCACTTTGGCGTCGATGGATTCCGGGCGCGAGTTCTGAGAAACGTGCGACAAATAATGTTGGGATGTTTTCAACCCAAAAGATACAAACCTTGAAGCCCTCATCGACTGGGATGAAGAAGGTGTTTCCACCTTCAGCATTGAAAATATCCTCCTTCTTAGTCTGTTGCACGCGTTGCCTGAAAGATCTACAACAACAACAATTATACAATCTCATTCAACAAATTTATGTAACATCATCATCATACCTCACTCTGTACGGGTTTATATTCAACGACTCGAACTGCTCGATGAAGTCCCAGGCGGTCGGATTGTAAATGGGATTGGACACGGATTTCGGTGACATCACCGGAACGAGCACTTCGTCGATTTTATGCAACACCTACAGAATGTAACCGTTGTTAAACTGCACGTAAACTCCAATTTTCTCCTCCCAACAAACTCACCTGATCGTAACCCTTCAGATTCTTGGCCCGGAAATTGGAGTGCGTGATCAGGAGACGGGCGTTGTTTATGTAGATGTCGTCGTGGATGTCTCCGGTCTTGTGGGTCACCCACAGAGGTGGGTTTCCGTCCAGCTCTGAGGTCAGCGACGACGACGACATCAGTCCCAGTTGGTCCGTTGTCCTTGCCAAATTCGCTGGAAACGGAATTACAAACAGAACTAATCACAAACTGTCCACCCCACAACGTTTGTGCGCATCCCAATTTCTTTTTTCTCTCTCTACTATTAGAACAAACGTTGGCAACTTGATTATAACGAGGGTTCAGGACTTCCCATGGTTATCAGCAACAATGCACAGGGAAAATTGGAACGTCCAGCGAAACAATGTTTGCAGCGAATCTCGCACACATTTCATGTTGTAATTTGTCAAAATCCATTAACGCAATCATTAATACCAGTATTTCCAATCTAACAATTATGTTAGATGCAGTAGTTTTCTAATAATTGGCTATCAAAGTGCAAGATTTTTTTATGCAATTTATTTACATTTAGTTAAACAACTTTATAATCACGTCTTAAGCAATGATCATTAAAGAACTTAATTAAAATTAGATAAAAAGGCTATAAAATGAGCTATGATTCATATTTGTATCATTCGTGGTTCACTTGTAATCTGCAGTCAAAGTTGAAATATCTATTTTTAAACATTGCCATCAAAATTTGATTAAAGACAAATATATGAAATAATCGTTGCGGTCTGCTTGCAAAAGTTGAACTTTAACTTTCCAGTTCATAAAAGATTTGATATAAAACCAAAGAAAAATACAGCTTTTTCTATTAAATTGTTAAAAATCATTACTTTTTAGAAGACTACAATAATAATGATGAAATTCTATTGAAAAGAATTGGTATATTTCATAAATAGTATTGAAACTGTAATGTAAATGTTACAAATTGGTGAAGGATTAATTCGTTTTCAATATAAAAAAAACTGAAATAAACTGAAGTGAAGTTCTTTTATCGCAAATTCCATCGAAATAAACATTGAAAAATATATTAACATTACAAACGTAAATATTACTATGATTTTATTCATTTGTCTGTAATTTGCGTTCAAATTTGAAAAAATTAACGCTCGAAAAAGCAGTGTTTTCACATTTCATTGATTTTCTCGAAAACTATAATAGATAGAATTAATTTAAAATATGCGTATGAAAGATGAATGCTTGGAGAATATAGCGAGTATTGATATATTACTGTGGTTCTATCCTTATGGCTGTAATTCGCGTTCAAACTTGAAAAAATGTAAAAATAAACAGTGTTTTCACATTTCATTGATTTTCTCGAAAACTATACTAGATATAATGAATCCAAAAGATGAGTATGAAAACGCTGGCAACTTGATTATAACGAGGGTTCAGTCAGTCAGGACTTCCTATGGTTATCAGCAACAATGCACACGGAAAATTGGAACGTCCAGCGAAACAATGTTTGCAGCGATTCTCGCACACATTTCATGTTGTAATTTGTCAAAGTCCATTAACGCAATCATTAATACCAATGCAAATAAAGCATCTCCATTATATATTGATAGTATTTCCAATTTTTTTATGCAATTTATTTACATTTAGTTACACAACTTTATAATCACGTCTTAAGCGATAATCATTAAAGAACTTAATTAAAACTAGATATAAAGGCTACAAAACGAACTATGATTCATTTTTGTATCATTCGTGGTTCACTGGTAATCTGCAGTCAAAGTTGAAACATCTATTTTTAAACATTGCCATCAAAATTTGATTATAACATGAAGAAATTAAAGACAAATATACAAAAGTTAAACTTTAACTTTCCAGTTCATAAAAGATTTGATATAAAACACAGCTTTTTCTATTAAATTGTTAAAATTCATTATTAATTAGAAGACTACAACAATACTGATGAAATTCAATTGAAAATAATTGGTATATTTCATAAAATAGTATTGAAACTGAAACTGTAATGTAAATGTTACAAATTCAAAATTTGATGATTAAATGAAGAAATTAAAGACAAATATATGAAATAATCGTTGCTTGCAAAAGTTGAACTTTAACTTTTCAGTTCATAAAAGATTTGATATAAAACCAAAGAAAAATACAGCTTTTTCTATTAAATTGTTAAAATTCATTATTAATTAGAAGACTACAACAATACTGATGAAATTCAATTGAAAATAATTGGTATATTTCATAAAATAGTATTGAAACTCAAACTGTAATGTAAATGTTACAAATTGGTGAAGGATTAATTCGTTTTCAATATAAAAAAAAACTGAAATAAACTGTGAAGTGAAGTTCTTTCATCGCAAATTCCATCGAAATAAACATTGAAAAATATATTAACATTATAAACGTAAATATTACTACGATTTTATTCGTTTGTCTGTAATTTGCGTTCAAAGTTGAAAAAATTAACGCTCGAAAAAGCAGTGTTTTCACATTTCATTGATTTTCTCGAAATTCGCGATCAAATTTGAAAAAATTAACGTTTGAAAAAACAGCAATTTTCTCGTAAACTATAATAGATAGATTAATTCCAAAAGGTGCATATGAAAGTGAATGTTTGGAGAATATAGCGAGTATTGATATATTACTGTGGTTCTACCCTTATGGCTGTAATTCGCGTTCAAATTTGAAAAATGAAAAATAAACAGTGTTTTCACATTTCATTGATTTTCTCGAAAACTATACTAGATAGAATTAATTTAAAATATGCATATGAAATATGAATGTTTG